GAGGAGGAGGAGAAAGAGGAGGAGGAGGAGGAGGAGTAGGAGGAGGAAGAGGAGGAGGAGGAGGAGTGAGATATGGCGAAGGAGGAGGAGGAGCAGGAGGAGAGAGATATGGCGGACGAGGAGGAGGGGGAAGAGGAGGAGGAAGAGGATGACGACGAAGAAGAGGAAGGGGAGGAGAAGGAGGACAAGGAGGAAGAAAAGGAAGAAGGAGAAGAGAAGGAAGAGGAGGAAAAAGCTCACTATGTCCGAGTTTGTCGTGCTGCCGAAAAAAAAAAAAAAAAGTGCCACGTGGCACCATTTTAGAGGACGAGGAGGAGGATGAGGAGGAGGACGAGGGGGAGGAGGGGGAGGAGGAGGAAGAAGAAGAGGAGGAGGAGGACAAGTACGAGGAGGAGACAAAGGACGAAGAGGAGGATTGGGCGGGCGCTGAGGGCATCTCTCTCTCTTACCTCGAGTGCTGATGTGGCGATAGCTCCTCCAGGTGATGGCGGTAACACCATGGCGGCTCCAAGCAACGGCAGCGATGGGCGATGACTCGTCCAGGCGCAGGCAGCAACGGGCGAGGCAGCAATGGGCGATGGCTCATCTAGGCGTGGGCAGCAACAGGCGGTGGCTCACGTCCAACGGCTGCAGCGGGAGGCAGGAGTGAAGCTCAGCCAGGGACAACCGGTTCCCAACAAAATTCAAATTCGAATCGAGGTTGGGCCTCCCACAACCCCCCGCCCCAGCCACAACCCCGCCCACACGAAAACCAAGCTTGGGGCGCCCTGAACAGGTCGGTACGGCCCCTGAAAAAAAGAAAAAAAAAAGTTGTACTGGGCCTTCTCTGGACTTGTACGTGAGTACAAGTCCGCGTACAGGTCCGCGTACGAAAAAAACTCGTACGACCTGTACGGAAGTGCCCCGTACAGGTACGCCTGGCATGACCATTCTATATTTGGACAATGTGTTGCCAGATCCTGTCCCAACTCCTCCATAATAGCACCGATGTTGGGCATTGGAGGAAGATGTGCTCAATTGTCTCTGCGCGTTTTCTCCCTGGGTAGCTGCGGAGGCAACTGTGGCACCATGGTACTGCCCGTCCATGTTGTTCCAAACGGGTATGCTCCATTAGCCAGTCGTTAGTTGGCAGGCATCGGTGTGCTATTTGCCACTGGAGGGCAGCAGTCTTTGCGGGTCTGTCTCTATTATGCATGAACCATTGGATGGGTTTGAGCAGGCTGCGGTCCACATTGAGATGCCGATACCATCTGTCCTCTACTAGTTCCCGCATTCTTCGCGTAGGACGAAGCATTCGGTAAACTGATTTGGTTTGCAATTTATGTAACATTAGTGGTTTTGCTGTCCCCTGCCTAGTTCGACCTTCCTGGGACCAGCGCCACTCATCAGGGTCAAAGGGAAGATCCTCGATCGGGGTCGCTGGTCGGTATGCTCTACAGCATCTACCCTCATCTAAATTTCTGATACGAAATAGGTTCATGCTGTCTTTCCAGATGAAGGGCTGCTGGTTTCCTTGTAGTTCCCCATCCCTTTGGACGGAGAAGACCTCGATCAGGGCTCGTTCTTGGTTAGTCATGTGCACCCGCCCTACTTCCTTATCGTGGCCAGGTAGCCCTACCTAGTCCCCTTCCTTCAGGTGAGGGCCTTTTCGAAGAGTATTGTACCATTGGAGAGGAAAACTCTCAATAAGTTCATTAAGTGCTGATTGAGTGAAATGGAAGTATCTCAACCAAGACCGCATCCTTTCTACACTCTTCCAACCCCTCGCCTCTTTGCCCCATAAGTCCCCTACTCTGCTGACACCGTGTTTCACCCAGCCCTTCCAGGGGGAATCGGAGCTGCACCTTACGCGGCCCAAGGGATCCGTGATCAAACGATTTCCGAACAATGGTTGTCTGAAGATTTCTTCCCATCTGTCCGGAGTCAGACGGTCTGGTGGCGGGAGCTTCCTCCATGTGCATATGAGGCGCAACCAATGTTTGTCCGCCGGGTCCCCGTTTCTGTATTTCCTTGGGAGCCTCCAGTGCCTATCTTGCAACGAAATCAACGGGTCGATCTCCGACGGGGCGTCTGGGGCCAGGGCCGAAATTTGTGCCAGAGCTGGGGGGGGCCAGGGGAAGGAGGGCGAAAAGATGATGTGCTGGATCCAGCGGAACGTGAGGGTCTGGAGTTGTGTAGCTGGGTCCACAATTCCCAGTCCCCCTCTGGTTTTAGGTTGAATTACTGAGTCCCATGCCACTCGGTTGATCGCGTGGAGGTTGGTACTGTCTCCTCTCCAAAGGAAGGCTGCTAGTTGTTGCTTTAATGCCCTAAGCCCCCCCTTACTCATGGGCCATATAATGGATTTGTACCAGAGGGTGGCTAGCACTACATTGTTTATGACCAGGGCCCACCCAAATATGGAGGTGTGTTTTTTGTTCCATAGTTTGAGTTTGGCGTTTGCGGGTCCTGCCAGCCACTCATCATTGGTCGTCGGCTTTCCTTTTGCTGTGATAAGCGTTCCCAGGACTCTGAGAGGGTCGTCTGGGGGAAGCCATGTGATTCTCGGGTTTTCAGGGGGCCTTCCCCCTTGGTGATGCATCCACCAGCCCACGGTTTTCTGCCCCTAGTTCACTGCCATGTCTGATAAACGACAGAACCGATTCATAAGTTTTTGAATTTCTTCCATGTTCTGGTCAGTGGCCTCCAACATGAGGGTGAGATCGTCAGCAAAAAGAGAGCATATTGGTACCGCCTCTTCCGGAATGTTAGTGATTTTAATACGGGAGAGGTCTTTATTCTGTCTAAGATTGGCCGAGAGTGCCTCCATTATGACTATAAAGAGATAAGAAGCGATGGGGTCCCCTTGTCTCACTGACCGATGGAGCTCAAAAGGGGGTGCTATCGACCCATTGACCTGTACGCAGGTAGTAGCATTATGATGAAGGATCCTGATCCAACGTCGAAAAATCGGACCAAAGTTCACTTTTTCCAGGCATTTATCTAGAAAATTTCAGTCTACGTGGTCATAGGCCTTTTCAAAGTCAATGAATATGATAGCCGCGTTCGCTATGTGTCGTTGGGCCAGTTGGACCACTTCATTTACTAATAGGATATTCTCCTATATGTTTCTGTCGGTCATGAATCCTGTTTGGGCCGGGTGTATGACGTCTTCGAGGAAGGCTGCCATGCGGTTTGTCAATGCTTTTGAGAGCATTTTATATACTACTGTGAGTAATGTAATAGGCCTATAATTCCTGATATTCATTTTGTCGCCTTTTTTATATAGCAGAGATAGTACACCTTTCCCCACTATTTCCCCCATGTCCCCAGCAGTCCACACTTCCTGATAGTATTCCCATAAGTCGGTGCTCGGATCCCCCCACATGGTTTCCCAAAATTCCTTGGGGAAACCGTCGATGCTGGGTGTTTTTTCTTCCTTCATTTGGAGGAGTGTTGTCCAGATCTCGTTTTTGGATAGTGCTTCCTCCAGCTTTTCTCGCTGCTGCAGGGTGAGGTGTCGATCCAGTGGTGTCAAGAATTCTTCTATTTCTTTGTCCCTTCTGTCCTCTTGTGAGGGCGGGATCTGGGACGTGTAAAGCTGCTTGAAGAAGATCCTTGTAATCAGTGTGCAATGTGTCATGTCAGTAGCTATGATGTCCCCATTATCCGGGTCAAAGAGTGCTTCAATGACCGTCCGGCGAGCTTGCGTGGTGGCCATGGAGAAAAAATGGGTGTCCATAGTAGCTTCCTGGGTGAATCTAGCCATTTTTCCCCGGATTCTGATCCCTTGCCATCTATGTAGCGCGTAATGCAGAAGTTGGTCTTTGACATTTTGTAAGGTAGTAGTGAGATGCTGTGAATCTGCCTGTTGTTCCAGGCTTAGTAGTTCTTTGTGAGTGAACATTTCCTGTTGATGTCGCTGAGCTGCTTTGGCTTTGGTGAAGTCCTTACATTTTTTAGCCAGGTAGATTAGTCCATTGTTGAACCATGTTAAGTGTGAGTCGAAGAGGTGCTTTTGCTGGTGCCAAGAGAGCCATTCGTGACGAGTCATTTGAGTGAAGGCTGAATCGGTCAGCAAGGTGGTATTAAGCTCGTAAAAGCCCCGTCCTTGGTCTGGCCTTTTCCTCATTGTCAGTATTATTCCGCATGTTTTATGGTCTAGTCCTGGGTGCGGGCTACGTGGGAGGATTAGTGCCCAACGCAAGGCGCCTTCCAAGTCATTTGAGATGAAGATAAGGTCAATCCTGGATTTGGATAGCCGTGTCAGGTCATTATCCCTAAGGCATGTAAAGGATCGTACTTTGGGGTGCAGTCGGCGGAAGGTGTAAAAGACCGAGAGTGTCTCGCAGAATTCTGCTATCATTCATTCGTCTTCCGTCGTGGCGAAGGAGGGGGATTCCTGGGCGTTCCATCTGTCCAAATTCCTGTCGGTGGTAGCATTAAAATCCCCTGGTATAATTAGGGGAATGCCCTCCGGCACTTGCATAGCCAACTTTCCCAGAAATTCTCTTTTTTCCCCGACCGTATTAGGAGCGTAAATGCACAGTATGCAGATAAGTTCCAGCTCAAGCATACCCAAGACGGAGACCCAACGTCCTTCCGCTTCGTCCACGACCCAATGGACTGGCTGGAATCTGGAGCCCGGAGGGACCCAGATTGCCACTCCTGCTGAGCCCGGTCTGGGTGCGTGGGCTATGATTGCCGTGTGGGGCCAAGCCATTCAATGTGCCCTGTTGTGCTCCGGATTGTCTTGCAGGTGAGTTTCTTGGACGCAAATTATGTTCGGCCATCGTTTGCCCTCCACCCCTCTGAGTTGGTCCCAGATGGCCTGCCGTTTTACTTGACGCTATGCCGTTAACATTAATGGATTGCAGATCCAGATCCGCCGAGCCGACACATTTTTATCACGCCTGGTTCTTACAGTATAATGTTTCCAGCTCGTCAATTAATATTTATCTTTAGTGCATGCCATGGCTGGTCCCATCTGTATGAGAATAGAGTCTTATTTCATAGTATCCTGCACAGGCACCTACAAATGTCATCTTCAAACCACTATTCGTTGTTTTTGACTTTGGTACATTGAAGGTCCAGCAGCGTGTTGTGGTTCGACCAGCGCAGGTTAGCTGTCTTGTTGGTTTCAAAAAGCAGGAAAAGATCATTGCGGGCCATTTGATGGTCGCAGACACCAAACCTCACCCCTGGTTTTGCTCCTGGGGCATAATGGCTCAGAATAAAGGCCCGCATTTGATCGGTGAACATCTTGTCCCTCTCCCTACCGTCTCCCTCCTTCGACGCGAATTCCCAGCCCTGTAGTGTGACACCTTCGTGTTCTCCTATCTGGGAGAGGCCTATTTCCCACACCCCTTCTGATTTCTTCAAAGAGACTACAAGTACACCATTCTGTTTTGAAAGAGGCATTTCAAAAAGCCCTCGTTCTATAAGCGGTCTGATCTTAAGCCTTCGGGAGGTCATCCCTTCGTCCTGCCCTACCAAAGGCTACCATGACTTCCTTTGTCTCAGGTCGGGTGGGCTGGGGGAACACCTCCTAGTCTGGGGTGGTTGGGTGTGGGGGAGGGGGGTCCTGTGGGGAAGGGGGGTGGAAGCGTCCTCGTGCCACGACCAATATGCGCTGAAATGCTTCTGCCCAGATCAGATGGGCCGGAGGCCCAGTGGTTAACGCATTTCTCAGCGTAGGACTGTTTTTAAGGAGTGT